TACTTCTGAGTTTTTGCCCCTGTGCTGAATACACTGCTTTATAGAACTTAATGACTTTGGCCAAAATGCACAAGTGTGGCGAGTGCTGACGCTTCCTTCTGCTACAGAAGGGGAACCCTCAGCAAGTGCGTGAGCAGGTTTCCCAAGGAAGGACATTCTGTTCCTTGGCACCTTTCATCTTAGCCAGGCTGACGTTCACTTGAAGCTCTAAGTGTTTTTGTAGGCTTGAACTTGTTTTCTAATGAGCTAGATTGACTTACCTCTGCAAATCCTCTCTGCTGTGGAGAGTTTGAGATAACCACCACAGTACGTTTCCTTACCTGCACATGACCTCTGGGGTTCCAGGAGCTTTCCCATTGGTAGCCAGAGCACACACTGCTCTGGAGCTGTTAGGGCCCCCCTGCGGAGACCACACACCAAGCCAGAGGATCCTCTGTCACAACACAGCAGCCCTGTGCAATGTGTTTATTCCTGGTTTAGAGAGGTTGAGGCCACTCGGCACTGTCTTATTGAGTATCTTTTATATCTCTCTCCTGTGGTCACATTGTCCAACCTCACTGCATCCTCCAAAGTGATAGTTTTCATGCCCATTTTGGAGCTAAGAGTTAAGCCACTGTCCACAGTCCCTCTGCTACTAAGTGTCACAGTCAGAATTTGAACTCGAGTGTGATTGTCTTTTTGTTACACTATACACACACACATACTCCTCTGTGCTGAGGTCTTGAAGGCAGGAGACAGCCCACTTGTGATTGCCTCTAGTCCCAGCCTCTAGGTGGCCTCAGTGGCCCTCACTGTGCTGGACTGCTTGCTGCCTGTTAGGCAGACTGGCCACATAGCCAAGTGGAAGCTGCTCATGTCTTGAAGACGTATCCTTTTCCCCTAGAACCTCCGAGAGTCCCATCTCCTATGAATACTCTGTATGCAGACTTCAGCATTCATTTATATCAAGACAGTGTGGGCGGCGGGGGTGGGGTGGGGGTGGGAGGTGGGTGAGGTAACTGTGCCCTGGGTCAGTTCGATCTCTCCAGTGCTGATGTTCTAGTTCTTTTGAGTGTCTCTACCCTGTTGATGGTCTCCTTTAAAGCTGAGGGCATGATGAGGGAGTGTTTCCCAGCCACAGGAATATAAGGCTGTGGGCACAGAGAGCAATGGTCCTAGAATCCCCGCCTCCATCAGCCTGCATGTCAGCGTGCTATCTGTGAGAGAGACAGTGGTGTGTTTTACCGACCCACTTGGATGGAAATAAGAAGTGGATTTAAAGATGACCACACGAGTGTCCCCAAGGTGATGGGAAGCTGCTGTCTTGATCACTGTGTCCATCTGCATTTGCTTTCTTTTCTGTAAAATGTCTCTTTTGGTGAGAGCTAGTCAGCCTCCCATCAGCACAGTTCTGGGTAGGTCACAGACTTCAATTTGTACCCTTTCTCTATCCTCAAAGCTGCTTTCTGCTGGACAAGGTGCCACATACCTGTAATCCCAACATTTGAGAGGGGAGGCAGGGGGATTAGGAGTTCTAGAGCAGCACACTGGCAAAAACAAGACCATCTCAAAACCAAACTACAAGGCTGCCTCCCACCAGGGCAGATCTTTACATCAGTAGCCTGTGAATATCTCTTCATGCTTTCAACTCAGAAGTGACAAGTAGCAAGTCTAGATGGCTCGAAAAAAAATAGTATTTATAGCAGAAAAGAGAGACTAGTAAATTGACTTAGGTGTGGACACCTTTCATAACAAAAGTCAGGCTCCTAGCCAGGTAGGGTGCTACATGCCAATTATCTGAGGCAGGAGAACCACCAGCTTGGACACATATAGATAGACCCTGTCTCAAAAACAAAAAACAAAAAGTGAAGCATCAGAGAAGCAGCTGGAAGAATCTGGCATTTGGGATGAAGGAATAGCTCTCCTTGAGGTACTGAGCTTCTCTTGGGTTAGCATGGACCTTTGTACAGAGAATCCCTAGGAACCTGTTGGTGCTGGGTGCAAGGCAGCTGTAGCAGAACCACGGGCTGCCTCCTGAGCCTCAAATATCTAAGTGGTTTCATGAAGGGGATTTAGGAGGAGATGAGGTCATGTTGGACATCCTCTTTAAGTAACTTTCCATGTTCTCTCAGAGGAAGAAAAGTTGGTTTTTATCTTCATTCCTTACACTTTCTTGTCAGTGCTTACTCTTTTCCAGCTGACCAAGACACTGACGGCAGCCCGGGTGCTCTAGTGCACCCTGCAGACACTGACATGCCCCTTGACAGTCATCTTACCACCTCTGGGGCTTTAGCACAGGCTGTGGGCTAGTGCTGCAGATCTGCTGTGCTGGCCCATGCATCCAGGTCACCACTGCTATTGCTTTGAGCCCCGTGGCTGCAGGATAGGCTCCAAGGCCTGTTGAGATTGCTTGAAGGTAGAGCAGGAAAGGTTTGAACACCATCCACTGAGCGCTCTTAACTTTACAACTTTGGAGGCTTGCATTTTTCTTCCCCCATCCACTGAGCGCTCTTAACTTTACAACTTTGGAGGCTTGCATTTTTCTGCTGTGGAGTATGGGTTGTTAAAGTTAAACCCTAGTGTGGCTGGCCACAGTTCTAACCCTTTGAAAGGGTGATGGTTGCCCTTGATTAGCAGCTGATTAACTAGCTGGACACCAGGCACTGAGTGTCCAGTGGCCTTGCTAGCCACGGGGTGAAGTCAGTAGCATCACCTCACCCCAGTGCAAAAGGAGGCTCAGAGCACAAAGCTCTCACAGTGCTCAAGAGGGGCCCAGCATCTGGCTCAGGCCAATGTGCAGGTTCCTGGCTTTCTGTCCTGGGTGGCTCTCCAAGGACAAAGTCCTTCCTCCAAGGATCCATGGTGATGGCTTTGTAACCTCCCATGGTTCGTCTCATTGTCCTAAAGAAAGCTGCCAGATTAACTTCCATTAACCTTATTTCTGTAACTAACTGTGGAGTGATGGAGAAGGTGGGGCTGAAAGGCGAACTGTGATGGGGATCAGGTTTCCAGGAGGGTGTGCATCAGTGCCCTGGACCACATCAGCACTGGGGGTGCGGGTGGGGAAGTGGGAGGAGCTTTCCCATAGCTGATGCCAGGAAGCACTTGCTAGTTCTTCCCCTGTAGAACTCACCTGCCACTCATGTCAAGAAGCCTGATGGCTTCCAGGGCAGATCTGATATGTGTTAACCACACCCAGAAACCCTCCTTCCTCACCCCACCCTCACCAAATCAGAATGAAGTTGGCCCCCAGATGGCTGCCCAGTGTCCTGGGTCCTCCAAGTAGGCTATTGGCCTCTTGTCTTCCTATTGAGCTGTGATTCTAAATAACATTCTGGTGAGTTTTCTAAGAGGTTAGTCCTGGGTCATTGGTGCTTAAACCAGTTGTTTTGGTAGATCCTTCCTGAGAAGGCTAATTATATATTTGATACCCTTCTCTTGTTATGCCTGAATGATGAGGATAAGTACCCTGTGGTTTATTAACTGTCACGTTAAACCTTTTCAAATTGTCTGGTGACAAAACAGAGTTTATGTCCTTTTTATCCAGCTTTGATGGATGAGACAGCTTCTCTGGGTAAAGTATGTTAGGGAAAGCAAATCCTCTGATTTGTGGGGAATGATGGGTTTGTACTCGAAGTCACGGGTTCAAGTCTGCTGTTAATCTTTTCTCCACTTCCTTTTCAACCTTTGATAAATGGGCTGGGTACCTGATGGGCACTTGGTAATTGCTGAGTGAGTGAAAGAAGGCACGAGGTTAAGAAGGTTTGTCTCACCCTTTCTCTTTGCCCATCAAGCCCCATGCTCAGTGCATGTCGGGTAAGCACTCCAAACTGCACCTTCACCCACCTCTCCAGAGATCTTGATATAAAACCCTAGAGTCATACTCTGCCATGTCTCCTGCCTTGAAACCAGCTGATTCTCAGAACACAGGGCTATATCCTTAATATCAAAGGATCCCAACTCTTACCTCCTCTCCCCCACCCCCCCACCCACTCTTGGCCATTTTGTATACTCATTTAACTTAAATTTAAAAAATGTATGTATGTGTGTTTGTGGTGCATGTACACGCGTGTGCCTGTGTATGCACACACAGGCCAGAGGAGATGTCCTGCTCTCTGAACCTCTACCTCGTTTTCTTGAGACAAGGTCCCTCAATAAGCTTAGGGGTAGATGGCTGGCCAGCAAGCCCCAGCAACCCATCTATCTCTGGACAAAGTATGCCTGGGGAGATAAGATACTGTGACTTTTGGGAGAGAATGGATTTTTCACTTGCAGTAATGGGGTCAAGCCTGCTGTTGGCCTTTTTAACAACTGCCTCAGCACTGGAGTTCCAGGTACCTATACAGCAGTAATGGCTTTTTACCGGGGTAGGAGGGATTTGAACTCTGTTCCTTGTGCTTGTTTTGCAAGTGTTTCAATCCAATAAACCATCTCTCCAGCTCACACCTTTAACTTTTCAATAAATTTTCAGGGGTACAGGCAGAGTAGCTCTTTCCTGAAATACCTGGGCCCTTAAGTCTTTGAAACTTTCTGGATTTTCCAGCTTCATGACTGTTTGTCTACATATGATATTTCCTGGGGAGGAGGGAGACCTCCTCCAAGTTTAGATGTGAAATTCTCCTGGGTTTCATGAACACCTCACAGGTGACTGTTTCATGTTTTTGGTTCTCCAGCTTTCTGACTGCTGTCCTTCGCATGGGGCAAGGCATGGAATGTTTCACCTGTAGTACCTTATCAGTGCTCAGAAACTTTCAGAGTTTAGAATATTTTGCATGTAAACTGTTTTTGTTGGATTTGGCTTATATTGTGTAAATGATTTGAAGGGATTCTCGTAGCAGCTGTGCCACTCAGGCTTTGAGAGCCACTCTGCTGGGTCAGGCAGTGTACGTAACTCAATAGTTAATCTTTCCGTATGATCATGATTCACTGACTCCTAGCTAAGAACAAGGGAAGGCATTTATTTAATATAAAAAATGATGCTGAGGCTTTAAAACTCATCTCAGTTTTTTGGTTTGTTCCAGTTTGCAGGGACATTATCAGATGGCCTGGGGAAGACAATGGACAATCGGCACCAGTCTGAGCGAGAATACATCAGGTACCATGCAGCCACCAGTGGTGAACACCTCGTGGCCGGCATCCATGGCCTGGCGCATGGTAAGTTACTTGTAGTTGGGCTCCTGCCACAAGTGCCTTTGTATGCACATCTCAGTGCGAAGGGAGAAGAAAGCTGGCAGCAGCATGGTCCCGGCGAGGTGCCCTGCTGAGCCTGCCAGCCACCCACCCTTCCCCTGAAGTTCTTTGTCCCTCTTCAGGGTGCTGGGCACATTGCACTTTCTCCCGGTTGGGCAGTTTCCATTCCCAAGGGCATCAGGTATGTCCCAGCAATCTCCTCTCAGAATCTGGACCTGCTGAGGAGATGGCCTACGAGTGCTAGCATGGCAGACACAAGGACTTGAGTTTAACCCCAGCGTCTACATCAAAAGGCAGACCTGCTAGACCCCTGGGGCTTCCAGCCAGCCAGCCAGCCAAGTAAAAGACACACTCTCCAACAACAACCACAAGTGGATGACACCTGAGCCTGACCTCTGACCTCTGCATGCATGTACACACACCTATACACATGACTGCCTGATGCTTACCACTGGTTCCTTCCAAAGAAACTGATAGATGGAAATGGCTGTTGGACATACAGCCTTGATCTTTCTGCATCTGTAAGAAACGGGAGTATAAAGCCGTGGGATTGCAAAGCAGATCATATGTCATCTCTGAACTTGTTTCAACTCAACCACCAGTTATTGACCAAAGTCAACTTTTCCACCAATGTCCCTCAGCCGCACAGAGCCCAGTGCTGCCCCGATTTGCTCTAGATTCTTCCTGCTCATATTCTGACAAGTGCTTGTGTGAGCCTTCATTGTCCACATGGCCAGTGATGTGTGTGTGTAGCTCGTGGTCAGATAGATTGAGTGTCAAGAAAGCAGAGGGCCACCCAGAGTCCCCTGACCCATAGTGCTTGCTCAGTGATGCCTGACAGGCTTGGTCAGGTCCTAGGAATCATTGACACCATGGCAGTCCCTCAGAGTGACCAGTCCCAGTTGTCTTCATTTTATGATGGTGTAAGCATGATTAATCCTATACTTAGGATACAGTGTTTATTGCAGGGGGAGGTTTGGAAGAAGATGTCTTTGCTTTCCCTAGGCTCATCAACTGTAAAGGTGGTGAGTGCCTCCCGAGCATCAGGCTGGATGTAGAGTTGGGCTAAACTAATCTGTTTATAGACTTTTAAAGTGGTGTTTGGAGTAATCATTCAGGAGTAAAGGTTTCATCTTTATTAACTGTAACAATAATGCAGTAACTATTAGAAGTGTCTAATTGCCATCCTTTCTTCAGAGAGAGGTGGCTGGCCCTGATTTTTGGATGATCACAGCCATGTGCTAAGAAGCTTGATAATTTGTTCACAGTTGCCAAGCAAGAATTGTCTCAGTGCTCTACATAGCCCTTCCAGGAGCCAGTTAGGCTAGTCTGAGACCAGAACCAGTGCCCCCTCATCCAAGAGGATACTGAGCTCTGGGCAGTGTGGAAGGAGTATCTCCTTTAGGAGGAGAAAACTCACATGATGATAGGCCCAGACTCCATCCGACCTTTTTGGTTTAAAGCTGGAGTCCTAGCGTCTGATGACCTGCATTCAATAGCCAGGCCCCATGGTGGAAGGAGAGAACTGAGTCCTATAAGCTGTCTTCTGACTTCCTTGAATGTACTTCAGCTTGTGTGTGTGTGTGTGTGTGTGTGTGTGTGTGCGCGCGCGCGCGCGCACACACACACACACACACACACATACACTAAGTGAGTAAAAACCTGGAGTCCTGCTTGGCCCCGGGTCTCTTAAGTCCTGGCTGTTGGGCCTGGAATGCTATTCGAAGATAAGGATGGGGACATTGCCTCATGGAGCAGCAGGACCCAGAATCTGAAAGAAATGCTGTGAATTCTTAGTACTTTCTCACCCAGCCAGCTTCCTTCCCCAATTTGTCTCACTAGAGCTGAAGAGTGCAGAGAGCTTCCTCACACCCCGACTGTCAGAGGGTAAACATCCTGTGAGTGTCCCTGGCCCAAGTCCTGGAAATGCTCACTGGACAGGGCCTGCCTCTTCCTTCAGGGCCTGCAACCTCACTAGCTTTTGCCAACTTGTGGCCACCTCTGGGCATACATCAACCATTGCTGTCAGCTTTTAAAACGTTTGAATGCCCTTTTCACTTAGATGGGTCTTGTAAGCTTGACACAACCCCAGGGTCCTGGTTAGCCTTGGCAGCTGTAGTGGATTATTTGGGTGCCTTAATGCATCCTTCCATTCACTCCAATGGTCTCGGCAAAACTTTCAGTACTACATGAACTGTGTCAGACACTGGGCGGCATTGCCCCCCCCCCAAGTATTCATGGAAAACTGAAATATGGGAGTTAGCTAGCCTCCTCTCTTAGATTTTAGAGAACCTCAAACCTTTCCCAAGGACCCTATTTTCTAGCCCCCTATTGCCTCCCTCCCTCTTCTGTTTATTGCCTACATGCTGCCTAAGACTTGGAATAGAAAATAAAAAGGTCCACCATTAACTTTCCAGCCTTTTCTTCCTTAACTGATTAAGTAATTTTTTTTTGTTTTTTTGGTTTTTTTTTTTGTTTGTTTTTTTTTTTTTTGTTTTTGAGGCAGGATCTCATTTCTTCCAGGCTGGCCCTGAACTTATTATGTAGCTGAATTCAAGATGAACTTGAATTTCTGGTCTTCTGGTGTCCACCTGCCTAGTGCTAGGATTGCAAGTGTGTGCTACTGTGCCTGGTTTTATGTAGCAATGGGGATTGAACCCAGGCTGTATGCACGAGGCAGGCACTCTTCCCACCAAACTCTTAAGACATCCCTAGACCAAGGTTTTGTTTTGTTTTAATTATTCAAGACGCATGCTCCTTTTAACTCACAGTCTGGTACAACATCCTCTGATTCTGGACTTTCTAAACAGAGCAACACACTGCCTTTAACATTCCAGATTCATGAACTGGGAGTTTGGTTTGGAAAGCTTTTGGTTTTGTCCTTGACCAGATCACAGAAATCCTTGTCCCCCTTCTAGGTATCATTGGTGGGTTGACCAGTGTCATAACGTCAACAGTGGAAGGTGTGAAAACAGAAGGAGGTGTCAGCGGCTTCATATCTGGCCTTGGCAAAGGACTCGTGGGCACTGTGACCAAGCCAGTGGCAGGTGCTCTGGACTTTGCATCTGAAACAGCCCAGGCGGTGAGAGACACAGCCACACTCAGCGGTCCCAGGTCAGTGGTCATGGCTGAGAGTGGATCTCTACCTTGGAGCTCAGGTCTGAGGCTTCTCTAGTCCACAGTGATGTGTTTAATGATTTTCTGTCTGCATTAGCTGTATGTCGTTTAACTTAAATACATGTAACAGAAATGTCTGACTTGTCCATAAACACGTATGTAGAGGAGGTGCACCCTGGCATTAAGAAGGGATAGCATGTCTATAATTCCAGCACTGGGGAGGTGAAGGCAGAAGAACCAGGAGTTCAAGGCCCTAGCAAGTTCAAGCCAGTCTGGGCTGCGTGACTCCAGCTCTCACTTCATCTACCATCACAAAAAGTGGCATGTGTTTTTCCATAAATACATAATACCAGGTTGGATATAAGATAAGACGTGGTTCTTTCATTAAAGAGGTCAAAACTAGGATTATATCATTATAAGGTTCCCCAAGCCAATTGTGCCTCCATGCCCATCAGCTTACTGAAGGCTGGTGGTCTTTGCTCCTAGACTAGACTCCATGTAGTTCTAGAACACATGCAGATGCAGTTCATCACGTGGGTTGTTCCCTCCGAGTCAAAAATGCCAGCCAGTCCTCCAGCCCTGGAGAAATGACCATCCACACTCCACAAGCAAGTCAGTGATTCTGCTGTGAAATATTGCCTTATCTGACACCAGCTAGGACCTGACATCAGAGATGGCCCATGCAGTGCCAAATCCCACAGAACCCAGCCACTTTAACTTAGTATCTGGTTAATGGTCTGTTTTCGCCTCCCTCCCTCTCCAGAGAGACAAGGAGGGTTGCTGTTCCCAGTGGGGCTCCACTGTGCCCATCTGGAATTCACTGCAGCCCAGATAGCTGATGTTCTGCTAGTAAAACCCTGAGCCTCTTCAGAAGCTGGGCTGGGCTGGGCTGTGCCCACACCTGTTGCTCCTTTAGTCAGATTCACAGTGAAGTCCACCCCAATTAGGATGAATGCCATTGTCTGTCACCAGAGAACCTCAGGGGTGACATGTGGCTGTAGTAGACGAAGTGCTTGTGGTTATAGACCAGGCCTTGCCATGTGCTCTGCCAGGGTGTCTTCCATCTGGAAGCAGCTGGGTTTTTTTTGGGGGGTGGGAGGGATGGAGGCGCTAGGGGCTATGGGGTGTGGAGTTTACTTTAAAAGTTAAGCTGCATTCTATTCTCAGATACGAAGCTCAAACAGCCCTGGCGTCTATTTTGAGCATGTATGCAGTAGTGAGGACAGCAGGCAGTAGAGAGTGTTCCCAGCTAGTTCTTTATTTCTGCTCAAAGCCCAAGAAGTCTCCTCCAGCATAAAGTGTGAATACAACTGAAGTCCCTCAAACATTCTCAAAGAACTATTCCTTATTTGTTAAAACCCTTAAACATCAAGGGATTGGTTTGTTTGCTCAAAAAATTTTTTTGAGGTGCTGGAAAGGTGGCTCAGTGGTTAGGAGCCATGCACTGCTCTTTCAGAGGACCCATGAGTTCAGTTCCCAGCAGCCATGCCGGGTGGCTCACAACCACCTGTAACTCCAGGTCCAGGTTGTGTCTTTTCTTGAACTCCATGAGCACTTGAACTCAGACATGCACAGACATTTTCTCCCCGCATATACACATGATTAAACATTGAAATTTTTAAACGATGGTTTCTGCCAGGTGGTGGTGGTGGTGGTACATGCCTTTAATCCCAGTCTTGTCATAGACCAAGTTCTAGCACAGCCAGGGCTACACAGAGAAACCCTATCTCAAAAAACAAAACAAGATTTCTTTGCTGCAAAGGTTAGGGGTGTTGACTAACCTTTGCACAGCATTGGTTTGGAAACCTCTGTAAGACTTTGTATTCTTTCTAGGAGCATAAACTATGGCACCATGGTTGCTGAAGGAGTAGAAATATTCCTGTTGTTTTTACTAGTCATCCAGCATTTTCACAGAAAGTTTGACTTAGTGCCATCCGGTTTCCATCATTCACTCATCCATTTCCAGTCAGTAAATGCTGATTGAAAATTTCCTATGAACTCTAGGCTGAGAATAGAGTAGGTTATAAGACCACTGAGTGGTTATGGACCACTCAGGATTAATCTGGGCAGCAGACACAAACAACCATAGAAATTACCCCTAGCCTTGGACCACTCAGGATTAATCTGGGCAGCAGACACAAACAACCATAGAAATAATGATTTCCGGAATGATGTAGATTGCCCAGAAGTGATATGGAGATGGTGTTGTGCTGGGGTCTGATCAGAAAAAGTGCAGGGCTGGGGAATGACCCGAGGTCTGGCTGTCAGGACACACGTCTCTTCCGGAGACGAAGCCTGAAGTGCAAGTAGGAATTGAGTAGGCAAGGGCAAGAGGTCTCCAAGGGGAGCCTGGCAGGACAGAGCCCCAAGGGGAGCCTGGCAGGACAGAGCCCCAAGGGGAGCCTGGCAGGACAGAGCCCCAAGGGGAGCCTTGTCTAGAGGCCTCCACCTGCACAGTTCCACTCATCTCCGAGCTTTGCTTACAGACACTTCAGAGAGCTTTGTGGTCTTCCACAGCCATACAGCTGGCTGGAGATGATAAAGCCAGACTCAGGCAGCCTGTCCTCTGACCCCAGCCCGGCACCTGCTGTGTAGTGCCCTGCTTGGAAGCTTACTCTGCCTAGAAACCAGCCACAGATCTAAGTGAAGGGCCTCTGGGCATGGGCCACTCAGAGGAGGCGTTATCTGTCCTCTAGGCTCCTGCAGGGCCCGTGACTGGGAAAGCCACAGCAGTGCGCCCAAAGGCCAGCAGATCAATCATGGTGCCCTCTGCTGTACTACAGAGGTGGAGCAGGGTCTTCGGAAGCCTTTTCACCAGGGTCCCTCTGCGTGTTTGTCAAGGTCCAGGTTATTAATGAGAAGCCATGTGTTCATGAGAGCAGAGTACTTGACCCAGAAAACAACAGGGCAGAGTCCCAGCCCCGCTGGTTTGATCTCTAGCCTGTCCACACCTCAGCATTTTCCAACTATAAATAAGAGATTAGATATACCTGTCTGTTAAGTCTACCTCCCAAGGGTTTGAAGCCCAACCAGGGTTATTTTAATATAGAAGCCATGAAGAGCTACAATAAGGCTGGGCAATATTATCTTCGGGTCATGTTCAGAGCTCCCTGCAGGTGGGGAAGCGTGTCCTTGTCTCTGGGCTTTGCTCCGATAACACCGAAGTCTCCCAGAACACCCTGACACTACCCAAGGGATAAATCACCCTGGCTTCTTGGAAGTGAGGTAGAACCATCCAGCTATCCCGGTTGGTTGAACAGCATCCAGGGGTGTTACTCAGGGTTTTTCCCCACTGTTTAGACAACAGGGACTAACAAATGATTTGAAGGGATTAAAAGTGAGATTCTGACCGAAGACTGACCTGAGCCCAGGGAGCTCGCCAGGAACAGAACCCAAGAGTCCAAGAGTTCTGCCTCTGAGTCTGCACTTGGAAGAGACTCTCTGCTTCCTTTGCCATGTTTCATCCCATTGAAGGCTTAGATCCGAGCCATCTATGTTTTAAATGATCCAACTTTTGAGCAGATGATAGCAAAGCAAGTCATAAAACTGTGAAAGAGTACTCCTTCCAGTAATCCATCTGCATAGTAGCTTTACAGGAAACACTGGCTCCTTCTCATGTTTATTAGACATAGTTTTATTTATAGGAACCCCTAACCCTCCTTATGTCCTTTCAGATCAAAATGTTTCCAAAAAGACAGCCACCTAGCTTTCTTCCAGTGTTCCCATGCATTCTAATAGTCCTTAGGAAGGCAGGTGGGGGGAGGGCGAGAAGAGGGCGACAGCAGCACCTCTGGCCCTGCATCCATGTGGCAGACAGCGCACCCCCCCATTTGTTAACTCCACAAGTATGTGTGGTTTGGAACCAAAACAGGAAGCTCTTTCCAAGGCTGTGTTCTGCTGGCTCGGGGTGTGTCTTTTAGTCTACGTGGAGTGGGCCACATTCATCTGTTCTTAAGTAAAGTTTATAAAAATGGCACAGATGCTTGTGGTACCACTGATGCCACAGAAGAGCGACTGCCACTCTCTGAGCAGACCAGGCTAAGCAGGGCAGTCGGCCATGTGCATGTCTGGTTCTCTGCCTGAATGCACGGTACTGAGGGGGGCTGCCTGTGGGTGAAGGTGGCACTGCCTGCCCGGGCTCACACTTCTCTGTGTTTCGGACTCTAGGCAGCATGGCATGCTGGGAAATGGCAGACAGAGATTTATGAAGCCGGGCCCTGAGGTTTCCTCCAAAATATTTCTTCACCTTTTTAGTCAAGACCCCTAAAGGCAAGCGAAATGGGAGTTGGCAGAACTTGAAATATTTAAACCCATTTAGCAAAGCCCAGGAGTGTTGGGCTTATCTGGTTATTTAAGTTAGATAAGGGGGGGGGGAATTGAAGGATGATGATAGGTCAGTGTTTAAGAACATAGCCATCAGGATGGATGGTCAGGAATCTCAGGACCCAGAGAGAGATTCCAGTTGCTGGGGAGCTTTTGAATAAGCATGGGTTGATTTCATGGAGAGGATTTATGCGGGGCATCTGACTTTTTTGCTAAAAACACTCCCAAGATACCACCCAAAATTTATTAACGACACTGTTAATGGCCAGCTTTTCCGTAGTTAGAATCCTTTCTGGAACAGCGTTTGTACTTTGCTCTGGCTCTCAGGAGTGGGGAAGAACTGCTCCCAGCGCTTCCCGATGGTGGTGGCCCTGCTTTGGCGCCCTCTTCCCTGCATTGGTGTCACAATGAGATGACCAGCAGGCTTGGTTTGACCGGAACCTTTAGGGACTTCCCAAAGAGCAAAGCCTAATAGAACTAAGGTGTTCATGAAAACACATACATGTTCTCAGTTTTCCCAGCTGTGTTTCCATCAAGATGGGAAAGCAGTCCCCTTGTCTGAACAGGGCCAAAATTTCTCTGGAAGTTCCTGTTTGGTCTTCAGACTGCAAATGAATTTTATGTGTTTTCCCGTATTAGTTTTCAGAAGGAAATATTTTTCACTTGCTGCTCAG